GCGTCTTCTGCAGTCTCCTCATCAACGTGACCCTCGACATCATACCGGAGTTGGCGAACGTATTCGTGAGTGTTTCCCACGCGTCCTTCGAGGTGGTACAGTCGGCGATGTGAACGACGACGGCGGGGGCGCACCGGAGGCGGATGGCGCTTAATGCCTTCCGGTCTTTCGTCTGCCAATCGGCTGCCAGAGCCGCATCAGCAGGTAGGGTCTTCGTACCCTTGGGATATTCTAACAGCGAAGCGAGTGTGAGAACGTCTTGGATTTGAATGTTCCAGGAAAAGTAGTTCTCCGTGCCCTTCAGGGCTTCGATCTTTGGGGAACTGTCCATACTCTCGAGAACAACAGTCTATGGCGGCGCCTAGATAGAGTTCGTTCTGGACGTGGTATCACAGGGTCGATCAAGGTTTGATCAACAGTGGGAAAGGGTCGCGTTGACCCTGCAGGTGATGTCGGTGACCGATGATTAGAGCGCGGGGCTCATAACCTGTTGTGAAAGACTTCGCGCAGGCGGGGGATTCACGAGTAATCAAGGATAAATTCCAAAAATAATACTACATGTTCTTATATAGGTTATCTACTTCCTAATCTGGTCAGACCAATAAAATGTACCTTAGGAAGCTGAGACTATAGAGGAAGCATAACGAGGGCGCAGAGCCGAGAGTGCTCTGCGCGGGTCATATCTAAAACGGGCATGACAGATCCATATTGGGCATGACGACCTAAGCGCGTCATGTCGGTATCCCTACCGGCGCGGCTGATGCGCATCCGGCGCCTCAGATACTACAACAAGAGACTTGAACATGCACAGCGACCTGGTAACGTACTCAAGCTCCTTCGCAGTGTCGGTGATCGAGCCCAACCGCATCTCGTCCCATATATGCAGGAGAAGGATTATTGCGGATGAGAAAAGTGACGCCTACAAGACACTCCTCAGTCGCGTCTCATACAAAGTAAAATGCCGCGTACGAGATGATGTCGGTCAACTATCGCCGGCCTAGACAGGACAAAGTATCTGTCGAGGACTTGAATGCACGACCGTGCCGCGTTCGTGCAGATCGCAAGCGACGGACAGAGCGGCGGTGCGCACTTACGCGACCTTGTGATGAACGGCCGGTGGATAAAGATCCGCAATTTGTAGTACAAGGCGTAGAGCGATGCGGACTGGCCGGCAAATAGAATGTCTTCCATATTAGAGTCATATTGTACTGCAGACCCGTGGTGAGTAGTTCGCCGGAGCAATAGATTGGAGTGTACGTACGGTGCTCAGGGATCGAATCCATTCATTGGTCTAGCTCCAAATCCAACTCTGCCACGATTTGCTGGGCGCGTTCAGGGTCCGAGAGAGTTTTGGCTCCTTGCGTCGAGTACTAAGGCCGCGGTGAGTCATGCATGCGGAGCTCGGATAGCAACAGCACGTACAATGGTGCGTAGCGCGTGTACGTATATGCGCTCTAACTTAAGAACGCAGTTAAAGTGCGCAACAGTAGAAGGTTGTCCTATAGGTTGTTTGAATTCTGATTGCGGGCCGTCCGTCGCCGTCCAATACTCATCATCACATTCTATGAGATAGTCGAGATCGAAGCTGGCAGAAATATGAGCAGATGGCAATTAAATAGTTACGCCTGCACCCACTCTTCGCAGAAGAGCCCACATGACCTTCCGAGGGCAGTGCACAAGCCTATGTCTATCGCGACTAGACACCTGTGTAACACTAAGCTCGAACGGTAACAAATAGCAGCAGAGAAGCAACACTCACCAAAACGCGCGCTTTTTCAGCTCGCCTTTAGCCGTGGGCACCGATCCGTATGCTATCCGTTTGTGCGCACCCATGTCCTCCGCAAGTCGTAGGCCATATCCGACGACGGCATAATTTGAGTTAGGCACCGCCAAGGTGGTGACATACGCTGCGGAGCAAGAGTTTCAGTTCGGCGGCCTAGACACGGGAACTTATTATGTTACACCGGACTAGCCACACCGGCTTAGACGTTCATAAGCGCCCGGATCCACTAAGCGCCTTGGGGCCTGGCTGAGACATGGCCCTGGCTGAGACACGGTCGTGGCTAAGACACCGTGTGTCTAAGACATGTAATTAGCGTAATTACAATAAAACAATTGCGCAGGAAGCGTGAATCGAACCCACCGATTGCCCAATGAGCACTAACACCTGCACCACCAGGCCCTACACTGTAACCGTTAGGTATTGACCTAACAACCTTTCTCCAGCCACTCACGCGGCCGACGTCTCAGCCACGGTCCAGGGGCTTAGCCACGCAGAAACCGGCCTGCTCACCATCGCCTTTGTGGCGTCCCCTAGCTCATTCGGTTCGGTCCCGCCGCGCCGTACAGCTGGGCGCGTACCGCCTGCCACTCGCTCTACGATGGCGTCAGAGCAGCTTACTTGCATCTGCGAAAACCCGCCTGAGCTTTCTCACTGGCTCAGTATACGGTCTGCCAACACAGCGTCGTGATCCTACACGCCTCGCGCTCTCCCGACGTACTTCGGCGGCTATAGCTCCCG